CCGTCGATGTACAGTCGTGGGGTGAATGACACTCGCTGACATTCAGGACATCACGCTCTCGTGAGGATCTCGTCATCTCTTGTACTTTTCATCTTCTCAGCGTCCAGTGAAACATCCTTGTATACTATCATGGATCGATTTGTTTAGTTAATTTGGATAATACATTTCTAGATTTGATCTAATATGCAGGGTTCGAAATCAATGATCAGAATCTCTTTCGGCGGATAATCCAGACATAATTAAAGTAACAAATCTAAGGGATAAAGTTCCCGGTGCCTGAAAAGACGCACACTTAGACAACTTGGTTTTAAAATAGCGTTATGAAGCGTGTGATTCACAAACGTTTGGACAACTACATTGGACAAACAATCCGATAATGATGACTATATGAAAAGGGGGCAGTCGGGTAGCCTAGTGGTTAAAGCGTTCGCTCGTCACGCCGAAGACCCGGGTTCGATTCCCGACATGGGTACAATGTGTGAAGCCCATTTCTGGTGTCCCCCGCCGTGATATTGCTGGAATATTGCTAAAAGCGGCGTAAAACCATACTCACTCACTCACTATATGAAAAGAGGTAATACGCAGTATGATTCACAATGAACCAGGTATTCAAAAGTGGAAAATCGTATTATCAAGCTCAATGAAAGGAAGGGGCAAGCTGATTATTATCTGCGTCGTGAAGAAAGGCGGATCAAAGTATTCTTCTCGTTAGCACACATAAGTGGCAAAAGGCGTTCACAACCTATTAACGAGTGGCCCAGTGGCACACTAGAAACAAATACGGTTCTGACCCTACAATGATTCCATAGATGTCTGGTGATAGAGTTGCTGATGTTCCTTGTCAACGATCAACGTAATGCACTTCAACTGCAGGCGTTATAATCAGACTGACGTTATAACTAATGTTGCGTTTTAAAGACGTAATTGTCTGGTTTGTCGTACTTATCAGGATGTGTTATAACTAGAGTGGCGTTATAAAGAGTGTAGGGTAATAACCAGGGCGGCATTATAACGAGTGTGACGTTATAACCAAGTTGGTGTTATAACTAGTGTCATGTTATAATCAAGTTGGTGTTTTAACTAGTGTGACGTTATAACCAGGTTGGTCATATAACTAGTGTGACGTCATAACCAGGCTGGTGTTATATCAAGTGTGACGATATAACCAGATTGGTGGTATAACGAGTGTGGCGTTATAACCAGGTTGGTGTTGTTACTAGTGTGGCGTTATTACCAGGTTGGTGTTGTAACTAGCGTGGCGTTATAATCAGTCTGGTGTTTTACCTAGTGTGGCGTTATGACCAGGCTGGTGTTATATCAAGTGTGACGTTATAACCAGGCTGGAGTTATAACTAGTGTGACGTCATAACCAGATTGGTGTTATAAAGAGTGTGGCGTTATAACCAGGTTGGTGTTGTAACTAACGTGGCGTTATAATCAGGCTGGTGTTTTACCTAGTGTGGCGTTATAATCAGGCTGGTGTTCTACCTTGTGTTGCGTTATGACCAGGCTGGTTGTATAACTAGTGTGGCGTCATAATCAGTGTGCCGTTGTAACTAACTTGGTGTTATAATCAGTGTTATGTTTTAACCTGCATAAAGATAACGCTATTTTTCAGGGCATTATCATTTGCACTAACCCGAGGTGTGCCATTAACTGTTAGAACGACTGTGGCGTTATATATACTATGGCATTATAATCAGATTGCCATTATATCATGTGTTATGTTATAACTAGTGCGGTGTTATAATCAGTGCTATGTGGCGTTATGATGTGTGTGGTACTGTAACAATTAAGGCGTTGAACCACTGTGATCTTATAACAAATATTATGTTATAACTTGTGTGGCGGATTAATCAGTTTCGCTTTATAATCAGTAAGGTGTTTTAATGAGAGTGACGTTATAACCAGTGTGTCGTAACTGGTGTGGCTTTATAATGGCTTTATAACTACGATGGCATTATAACTGTGTGATGTTTAACTAGTGTAGTATGCGTTATAACTACTGCGCCAAAATCAGTGTGATTTAATCATGTCTATTGCTCCATAACGAGGGTGGCGTTATATCTAATACGATGTTATAATCAGCCTGGTGTTATAAATAGTATTGTGTTATAATCCCCGTGGTGTAAAAGTCGATGTATGAGTTATTTTGAGAATCACATAGATGTGATTTCTTTCATAGTATAAACATACTGTGAGAAAACCCGTTTTGGTCACTTTTGGTTGTATAGCAAAATTGGGGTTATACGTGAGGCCATTATTAAAGGGGGATAGGTTGCCGCCTACTCACGGAACTAATTACAAAGTCTCGATTTTGACTCAGCATGTCTAGTCTAGTCTATGGAGCACAGTCCCCCTTTAAATGTTATATTGTAATTGCCCATTCTGCTTAGTGCTGAAGTTCGATGAAAACGTTTTCTGCTGACATGGCCTGTACCACGCCAAAATATATGTCAAGGACTTTGATAAAGCTAGGTCTTGTCTAAAGTAAACTTGCGAGAGTTTAGAGTTGTATTAAGTTGGTTTTCAGAGCATATGTTATTATTATTCCTCTAGCTTGGATGCTAACTGTCTGGCATGCAGTATGGTGGTTCACCACGCTGACTATGCCGGCCCCGCTGTCTCAGATCCGTGACAGAACTGGTACATCTCACACGTTGGCCACTTTGAGATCCGTGACACTGGTATATTTCACACATTGCCCTCGTTGGCCACTTTGAGATCCGTGACAGAACTGGTATATTTGACACGTTGCCCTCGTTGGCCACTTTGAGATCCGTGACATAACTGGTATATTTGACACGTTGCCCTCGTTGGCCACTTTGAGATCCATGACAGAACTGGTATATTTGACACGTTGCCCTCGTTGGCCACTTGGAGATCAATGACATTACTGGTATATTTGACACGTTGCCCTCGTTGGCCACTTTTAGATCCATGACAGAACTGGTATATTTGACATGTTGCCCTCGTTGGCCACTTGGAGATCCATGACAGAACTGGTATATTTGACACGTTGCCCTCGTTGGCCACTTTGAGATCCATGACAGAACTGGTATATTTGACACGTTGCCCTCGTTGGCCACTTGGAGATCCATGACAGAACTGGTATATTTGACATGTTGCCCTCGTTGGCCACTTTGAGATCCGTGACAGAACTGGTATATTTGACACGTTGCCCTCGTTGGCCACTTGGAGATCCATGACAGAACTGGTATATTTGACACGTTGCCCTCGTTGGCCACTTGGAGATCAATGACATTACTGGTATATTTGACACGTTGCCCTCGTTGGCCACTTTGAGATCCATGACAGAACTGGTATATTTGACATGTTGCCCTCGTTGGCCACTTGGAGATCCATGACAGAACTGGTATATTTGACACGTTGCCCTCGTTGGCCACTTTGAGATCCATGACAGAACTGGTATATTTGACACGTTGCCCTCGTTTGCCACTTGGAGATCCATGACAGAACTGGTATATTTGACATGTTGCCCTCGTTGGCCACTTTGAGATCCATGACAGAACTGGTATATTTGACACGTTGCCCTCGTTGGCCACTTGGAGATCCATGACAGAACTGGTATATTTGACACGTTGCCCTCGTTGGCCACTTTGAGATCCGTGACAGAACTGGTATATTTGACTCGTTGCCCTCGTTGGCCACTTGGAGATCAATGACATAACTGGTATATTTGACACGTTGCCCTCGTTGGCCACTTTGAGATCCATGACAGAACTGGTATATTTGACACGTTGCCCTCGTTGGCCACTTTGAGATCCATGACAGAACTGGTATATTTGACACGTTGCCCTCGTTGGCCACTTTGAGATCCGTGACAGAACTGGTATATTTGACACGTTGCCCTCGTTGGCCACTTTGAGATCCGTGACAGAATTGATACATTTCACACGTTGGCGAGTTGACGTTGCAGTACACTGCATCAATGTTTTCTTGTAAATGAATAGAATAGGTTGCACAAGGCTTATGACCATAGAAAAACATTTTCAGTAATCATTTCAGTCTGAGACATTTCTCTGTACACCACACAGTTATAGACAGAGTTCCCGAGGTGCATATTTAAATAATGGTTAGGGACGGTAGGGACCGACATTTTCCTATTCAAGCTGGACCCTTTTGTAAAACCAGAGGACAAAATATTTTTTTCAGCGTGTTCATTTTAATATAAAATATCTTAGGTTGGTCCGGTATTGTTGTTTTATCGAAACTGGACATGACATTGGAGGTCAGACCCGACAAACAAGAACCATGTCTCTTAAAGGTATGCAATGAGTGATCGTTAATGATATTGTTTGTTTGTTGTTTAACGACGCACTCAGCAATATTCCAGTTATATGACGGCGGTCTGTAAATGATGGGGTGTGGACCAGACAATCCAATGATTGAGATCATGAGCATCGATCCACGCAATTGGGATACAATGACATGCATCAACTAAGTCAGCGAGCCTTACCACCCGATCCCGTTCTACGCCTTCTACGACAAGCATTGGTTCCTGAATGTCTATTCTACCCTGGATCTTCACGGTTCGATTTAGCTAATGTTAACACAAGTAGAACCATAAAAAGATACATAAACGTTTGTTATTCAAACTTGTGCATTTACACATGACGACCTTGCTAACTTTTGGAATTCAAATTCTTCATCCTTTCAATACGACGTCGTCGATATAGCTTCCAGTACATAATATGCCCCTTGCTTTATGAATATACTTTTACGAAAACGAAGTTGGAACCCTGACTTCATTGATACTACAGCTTGTAAATGTCACATAAAGATTGTGTACATCAGAAAACAAACAATATATCGGATAGCTATTATCAGGAACCTTAGCGGCAATCAGAAACAGGCTTGTAGATCCACTAAATCTATGGCTCGAGCTATTTACCCATTTAGGGACCCTCTCCTTCCCCAGAACACTAACAGTCCTTCGCCCCTTCGTCTAATTGGCCGCGGGAGATTCGATCGGTCATCTGTAATGGTTGAGTTCTTGTGAATACCTTCTCTAGATAACCATTCGGTGTGTTGGCTACGCTAGCGAGTTACAACATCGCAACGGCCCAGGGACTGGGGAGTAGTGTCGGGAGTCTGCAGCAACTTCACTCTCCAAAGTGGGTTTTCATTTTCTGAGAGATGGTGCCAACACGTTCCATGTTTATTGATGTGTTTATTTTCTTTAAATAATTCTTCCAAGATGTAACGACTTAACATATCTTTGCACCATGGGTTTGGCGAAACCTGATATTTTTTTATACATATGAATGTAGACTTTTTACCCTTTTCCGGATCTGTTTTCGCGATTTGTCAAGCAGTAGATTAGATGTTAAAGCTACTGTTTTGGCGGAAGTCTTGAAACCTGGACTCTGTGATGACGGTGTGTTGTTTCGTACGACGCTCAGTGCATATTGTTGTATCTTCAGGAACACAGCTAACATGCGGTTGACGTATGCGTTCACCGGCGTTGTTGTCGCCCATCTACTGATGACGTTGCTGACGGTGGTTGCGGCCCAAGGAACGAGGGGCGGACGGAGGAGACAGACAGCAGTGGTAGGATATATGTTTGATAATTCCCCATGTTTTTTCTTGCAGTTGTATGACACGTACCTCACACACTGCCCAAATAGGTAGTAGAAGGTAGCCAAGAGGTTTGATACTTAAGAAATTACTTCGGAAGTAGTGGTAACTTATGTTTATGTTGATGTTTGGGTTTTACGTAATGATGTTAAAGGTCCCATCCATGGTAGCCGCTATATCCTGACTTAACGTACGAAATAGACCACTTTTCATATAGTAAAAGTGAATATTAGATCCAATTGATTCTGAATGTGTCAAATATGTTTTATTTTAACAGCAATTTCCTTTGGCTATGGCTATTGTCTATTTGAAGAAACTTCCAAACACCACATAACCAATGACTTATCATTAAACTGCTCTTGAAAGACTCAGCTCTTTGGTGTCACTTACTCTCTTTATAACTGAACCTGGAAAAAACCTGCTAAATTTAAAGTACACGTGAATGAATATTTGTGGAAATCTGTTAAATGTGTCAATTTCGCACTAAGATCGGCATAATTACAGTGTCACAGTTTCAGTTACACTATGGTTACAGAGGGTTCAGTTACACTGTGGTTACAGAGCGTTCAGTTACACTATGGTTACAGAGCGTTCAGTTACACTATGGTTACAGAGCGTTCAGTTACACCATGGTTACAGAGCGTTCAGTTACACTATGGTTACAGAGCGTTCAGTTACACCATGGTTACAGAGCGTTCAGTTACACTATGGTTACAGAGCGTTCAGTTACACTATGGTTACAGAGCGTTCAGTTACACTATGGTTACAGAGCGTTCAGTTACACTATGGTTACAGAGCGTTCAGTTACACCATGGTTACAGAGCGTTCAGTTACACCATGGTTACAGAGCGTTCAGTTACACCATGGTTACAGAGCGTTCAGTTACACCATGGTTACAGAGCGTTCAGTTACACCATGGTTACAGAGCGTTCAGTTACACTATGGTTACAGAGCGTTCAGTTACACCATGGTTACAGAGCGTTCAGTTACACTATGGTGACAGAGCGTTCAGTTACACCATGGTTACAGAGCGTTCAGTTACACCATGGTTACAGAGCGTTCAGTTACACCATGGTTACAGAGCGTTCAGTTACACCATGGTTACAGAGCGTTCAGTTACACCATGGTTACAGAGCGTTCAGTTACAGAGCCTGTATGTTATTTACCCTGGCGTTCTGTGGCGTGACAGGGACGGCAGGGGTAGCCTAGATTAAACTTACTCTCATCACACCGTATAACCCGTGCAGTTACTGCAGCCTAATTACCTCACCTAATACTCTGATATGTTCGTGCAGTGGTAGGCTTGCAAAAGTCTATAAGGCAATAATTAATTATTACTAAGAACAAGTCCCTATGAGAGACTGGAGTCCTTTACTGTCAACATACCTAGACTTGCCTATTAGGAAAATAGAATTACTACACATTCCCAGACTTTTCTTTCAGTACAGCCTTGGAGCTAGTGCACTGGTACCGGGCCTGAATCAGTTCACTTGGGGTGTTTAAGTTTATCAAGAGCATTCAGATTACACTCTAACAAAATTATACTTTATCGTTAACGATCAACGATAGTTTAACGACCAACACGCCTACACTGTTATGACATGGCCTATATAGTTACGGTTCCGTCACATATATATATATATATATACATACATACATACATACATACATACATACATACATACATACATACATACATACATACATACATACATACATACATACATACATACATAGTGTTGATTGTCCACGCTTGTACTTATATATATTATGTCAATGATGCGTTGTTGATGATGTATTTATGTGTTTGTGATGTATCAGATCAATTGTCATCAAACGATCCTCATATGCCAAGGGTTAATACTGTATTTGGTCATGAATACTGGTGCCTCTGTTTCTGGCTCCCATATACCACGTTTCATGTGTAACCAGTATGCATATATGTCATTACTAACATGCTTATATTTTGGTATTGGTTGATTATGGTATTGGGGAAAGTTCTTCTCGACCGCCTTCTAGGTGTAGTGGGTAGAGCGTCTGTCCGAAGAGCGAAATGTCTGGTGTTCGATACCCGGCTGCGTCAATACCACAAGACGTTAAAACGATGGTACTTGTTGTTACCCTGCCTGGCGTTCGACATTAAGGGTCTAAAACAAGGACTGGTCGGCTTTGAGTCAGTATGCTGTGTCTGAGTGAGGTATTCGTGTTTAATTGCGGCGTGGTATCTCAGTGGGCTGGCATTAATAATTGGCATCAGTCCGGACTTGTACAAGTAGCCACACGCCCAACCACTCAGACAGACGTGTCGCTGCATGCATGAGTGCAAGCATCTTGAACGCGACATTAAACCCCATTTCATATCTCATCATCCTTTCCGTATCATTACTGCTGCACTTGCTTCTGTGATGCGTGCACGCCTCCAGGGACTCGCATGCTTGCTTGGCTCTGAGGTGGAGCGTCCGTGTACCGTCCATGCATTGGGGTCTGGACATCGTCACGCTATTACTAGTTGTGAAAGCGCTGCATGCATTTGAAGCATGACAGCCGACTCTGTGGCACGTCTTGCGTGGCACTTGATAGATAGACGAGAACCCTTGCTTCTTTGTTAGAATGGTATGAGTGACATTTCTACAACCGATTGGGCTCGCTTTATACATTATCCGTTGTACATGTATAGGTTCTTGCATGAGATTCGGACGTACGTTGTCGCGTCGTCTGAGGCGCCGGTAATAAGAAGTAGTAAACGTAGTAGTATTAGTAGTATTAGTAGTAGTAACAGTTGTAGTAGTAGTAGTAGTAACAGTTGTAGTAGTAGTAGTAGTAGTAGTAGTAGTAATAGTAGTAGTAGTAGAAGTAGTAGTAGAAGTAGTATCAGTAAGTATTAGTATTAGTAGTATCAGTGGTAGTATTAGTAGTAGTAGTAAAACATGCAGTAAACGTATTAGTAGTAAAGTTACTAATGAAAGTATAATAAGTATTATTATTAGTATTATTATTATTTACAGATTAAAATAAAAAATGCAGCAAAGAGGGTTTGGGTGATCCTGGCACAGTCAGGCTGGTTAGGCTCATCATCAGCTCAGGGCCCTTGCCCCCGCTACACGCAGCCCAGACAGCGAATGGGACTTTTCTCAGGGAGCGCTGCCTAGTCAAACCCTGCCAGAACTTTTCGGAGAATGTGATGACTCCCCAACACTGCAGCCTTCTGCATTACCCAGATTGTCAGAAGGGCTGTAACCTGGTAGCAAACCCGGGTACTCTCCCAATGTCAGTCAACAGATTGGGAGGTACCAAACCTAAGGCACCGAGAACAATGGGGAGTCAGACAACTTGGTACTTGGGATGCAAGCGTGACATGTGACTGGACTCTCGACTTATGAAATAATCGTCTTTTATGTGAACTACACGCTAAACATTGTGATCATTAGCAAATATCTATACATGTTTATTCCTTTGGAATCGTATAATCATAACAAACATGTTATGTGCTATTCAGCATGTGGTGTCTCCTTAGGCAAGTGACTTTGTTCGAAATGTGCCTCTGTTCACCCAGCAGTGAGTGGGTACCCGGTAGGATAATAATGATAATCAATGATAGATGAGATGGTAATGTGGCTGTTAACCTTCTAGCGCCTCACAGGCAGCTTGTGTTGTATACTCCCCAGGGAGCTGAGAATGAAAATCGAGTGCTCACTTGACCGGGGTAATAATAGTGTAGCGCTATGAGCATCCACTTGGTGAATGGAATCTGGCGCACATATTATTATTATTATTATTATTATTATTATTATTATTATTATTATTAATGATATGTATTATCAAATTTATATATAGGTTACATTTCATGGCATTAGTAAGGAAATCACTTAAAGTCACACATACTCTGACCCACTTGATTCATATGCGACCCTGAATGCTGCTCCATATGAAATTGGCTGAAAGTGTATGCCGCCACGTTGTTCTAACAATACGCGGTGGGATCGGTCGGTAGGTTCACAATGAAATCATGCAATATCACCACCCCATCGCTTTCGGGGGTACTCTTTTGATTACGGAATAAGCCGAGTAGATCCGAATGAATTCTTTAGTCAAGCCTCCATTATTACAGAAACCTCACCGGTCCAGGCATAGAAACACGCCAGTCAATCAATCCTTCACTACTTTACTACTTTACTCAGTCACGTACATAGTTTGCAAATCCGTAAAACTGATCATCCGAAATCCAAAAATCAAAGTTTATTTTCCTACTGACCAAACGTAAATCTAACAATGCAACGAGTTAACTGAGGACATGTTTCTCTGATGTTTCTATGTGCATACATAGTTATGACGAACCTATCTTTCGTGTTGATGACCACGTGTCCCGGGAAGTGATGGCACGGCGATGTATCGATCTGTAGAGGGGGATTCAGTTATATGGGTCAGGACCCAGTCAGACTCACTTCAACGTGGTGAACGCATAGGCGGCTAAGACGGCGTTGTTAGCTGGGCAGAATTGCATCCCTTGGCTGATCCGCCGATGGTCAGTTCGAATCCCAGATTATCATTAAGATTATGATTCCTTTTTTTTCTGTCTTTTAATTATTTTTTTATTCAGTTCAGAGGTGCATAGCATTGTGTTCATAGTCATCGTATCATATAAGACGTCAAAATACATGGTAAATATTACGATTCCTTTTCTTTCTTTCTTTTAATTATTTTTTATTCAGTTCAGAGGTGCATAGCATTGTGTTCATAGTCATCGTATCATATAAGAAGACGTCAAAATACATGGTAAATATTACGATTCCTTTTCTTTCTTTCTTTTAATTATTTTTTATTCAGTTCAGAGGTGCATAGAATTGTGTTCATAGTCATCGTATCATATAAGACGTCAAAATACATGGTAAATATCATAAACAGTGTACAGCATGTCGCATGACAGTAAGTTCGTATACCGTTGTATGTTGTAATAATTGTAAGATATATCGATT